AATGTAGCAACGAAAGAAATACACTTAAATGCATAAGAAGTATTGAGCCATCACACTGTGTGTATAAGAGCTGATAAATCGCCTTTCAAGGGTAAATACGATTTGGTTCATTCCTTCTAAGAAAAATTTAAAAGATCTGGTTCATTAAATATTTTATCTGTTCAATGACCAAAAGTTCAACAGATAAATGGCAAGCTTCAGTCAACATTCGAAATGATATAAACTTGGCAAATAAAAAGGTCTTACCAATTTTTTCCACAACATCATCAGTCTCCCTGATTCCTGCAGTATCAAGAAGTGTTACAGGAACACCACGAACAGAAACACTGGCTTCTACAACATCCCGTGTAGTACCAGCAATATTTGTAACTATTGCTCTATCAGTCTGCACGCTAATAGAAGGCACGTGATTAGGAATGACAGCAAGATAATAACACAAGAAGCAGACACTTTAAGACTAGAGAAATTCTAAAGAATGGGGAGTATGCTTATTATGACTTCATATTTTTGAGGAAAATATTTGTCATGAAACACATTCTATAATTTTTTTTGTGCTTGTTAGAGTAGTAGTAGGGGTTTGATAGAGTAAAGATCAACAAACATGTTTATAAGTTCATAGAAGCAAGTGGAACACAATAAGAGTTACAATACTGGTAGAGGAAAATACTATGCACCATTAAGGACACAAATTATTTTATATTATGCGACAATTTAAGGTAGACAATTATAAATTAGGGGATTGAAATGGCTCATTATTTTTTTAACAGTCCTACAGTTGCAGGTTTGGGAAGAGGTTATGAATTGTGGCTCGTAGATAAATTCATCGTGATAACTTGAGTCTAGCATAACCTATTGCTGGCTAGTATATAATTTAGATTGTGAAACTAGCGATTCAAATCCATATATACTTTCTATACCAGAAGGAACAATTTGGTCTTAGCACTAAGCAAAGTGATGAAAGTGTTCTTCAATGGATCCCTGGAAATGTCTCAACTAGAGCTAAAGGTGCAAGTCACATCCTATGCAAATTATAAGAACTGGGAGCTGGCCATGGCATGGAACTTCTTAGTATATGTTTCCAATTACAGGTGGGATTTCTATTTACTGGTCTACATTTTGTTTCAGATTTAGTTGCTCAGTTAAAAGTTTATGCCACTGTTAAGAGTAGTGATAACTATTCAGAAAAATTATTATTACAAGGATCATTGATGAGATGGTAAATAATGGGTATATTGGTGGAACATACTTTGCTCCATGCATTAAGAAGGCTTGATTTCCCAACATTTGGTCGACCAACAATTGCAATCTGCAAGATATTCATTGAAAATCATGTTATCTTAATTAGTTCAAAGCAGGGAAACATAAAAAAATCCATTTTTGGACAGCCAGCTAAATAGCTAGATGTGCTTTAAGTTATTCTCAAATTCAATGACAAATTTAAGACATCAGTCCTTTGTTCCTTTCTCCTTCTTGCTTTGTTAATTAGTTCTCAGGAAAAAAGTCCACTAGCCTTTTATAAGATTTTGATCAGTCTCAGTGAAATATAAAACCTGTAGTCCTGACTGCAGAAGCTTGTCATAGTTGGCAGTTTCCAGCGCATTATCCAGATCATGCAGCATCCCATATATTTTGTCCATGATAAGATTCAGATCAAGGGGTGGCATCTCGTCATCGAAGTCGAGACGAGCCTCAATTTCAGTTAGCAACTCCATACACTGAGTTCTTAGTGATTTGACCAAAGAAGAAAACCCACCCTGACAAAAGGAACACATCATTCAGCATCATTCCCCAGCATTAGGATAAAAGGCAAACAAAATAAAACTTAGTGCTGAATCTGTGCCATTATTAATGTATCGAAGCGTCAACAGCTCTTTTCTTTCTAGAAGGGTCAACAATTCTTGTAATTAAAAAGTGTTTTTATACAGCTGAACACCTCTATTCCTGCCAATGCAGCATCTGCAGCAGCCACTGACTTTGCTGATATTAACTTTTCCACATTCTCAGCTTGAGAAAGATCCAAACGACCATTTAAGAAGGCGCGCAGAGTGAACTCACCTAGTAAAAGTGAAACATAAAAAGAGGTAAGTTGGAGAAGAAAGATTCTCACCTATTCTATGGCTGCACAGAAAAAGGAGACAGTTGCTGTGAATTGGCCTAGTAACTAAAGCTTTGACAAGTCAATGCAACGGAACTATAGAATGATGTACTGATGTACAGACAAATGAATCTTCACAACAGTTTTCTAACTATAGAGACCGATTCTCATCAAAACCGTAGCTGCTGCAGGTTATAGACATGAAAACAGTCAATTAAAGAATACAAGGATGAAGCTAACCTGGTTCTGCGAGCTTCGCACCAGCCTCCAGACATGCCCTCAAAACACGTTGAAGACACACTTCACTTCCATGACACTGAAGCTCTATCACATCTTCTCTAGTGTATGACTTTGGAGCCAGCATAGGAACCACCAGAACCTAAGCAAGAAAAAGAAAAAGGAATTTAGAGAGAAAGAGATAGAAGAAGAAGAAGAAGAATAAAACTATTGACAATGACCTCCAATATATTAATTATTTTAGCGTCTAGTTATTTCTTCAAGGTAAAGGCAGAAGCCACTAGAAATGACCTGAAACAGACTCTCCCTTTCCATTCTATAGACACCTTTACATTCACATTATCTACGGGGTTATAATAGAATTAAAGGAAGAACCAATTCCCCACAGGTATGAACTTAATAAGAACAGATAAAAGTACTAGATATAGTAAGAAGATGTCGCAAAGGCTTAATTCAGATATGAAGTAACAACAGCAGCAAACTCTTAAAATCTCCAATGTAGTATAATTCACATGTCAAATCTAAAGCACAAATGCACCAACCAGAAGGGAAAATCTAGAGTTTCAAATTAAACCTCATCAATCACATTCCCATGAGAGTCAGAAACAAAACCATACTCTACAACATGGCTACTAGGTCTCCACTCTGAAGAACTCCTTTTCTTCTTTTTCACCTTGGGATGAAATACACGACCAACTATAGGCACTGCAGAAGGACCAGATAACCGAATAATCCCAACTGCAGCTGCTGGACCACCCAAAGAAGTGACAATAGCAGCAATGGTGCTAGTATTAACAGCTGGGTCAAGAGGGCTCACTGTACCAGACCCCAATAACCTCTCATCTTGTTTCAGCACCAGAGTACTCTCTGCAATAAAAATAAATAAAAAACATTGAAACTTAAGCATTCAAATCAATTCTTTCAGCACCAGAGTATTCTATACAATAAAAGAAAAATTGAAACTTAAGCATTAAAACCCAATTCTTTTACAACCACATTATTCTCTGCTATAAAAAGATCAAAATATTATCAGTGAAAAACAATTCTTTCAGCACCATAGTATTCTCTGCAACAGAAAGGTTGAGATTTTAGCACCAAAAACCATTTATTTTCAGTACTAGAGTACTCTCTGCAATAAACATATTGGATCTTTAGAAGTCAAAAACAACTCTTTCAGCACCACAGTATTCTTTGCAACAGAAAAATTGAAACTTTAGCATTAAACCCCAGTTCTTTTAGAACCACATTATTCTCTGTAATTAAAAGATTGAATCTTTAGCACCAAAAGACAATTCTTTCAGCACTACAGTATTCTCTGTAATAGCAAGATTGAACTTTTAGCACTAAAAATCAATTCTTTCAACACTAGAGTACTACATGCAATAAAAAGATTGAATCTTTAGCACCAAAAAAAAATTCTTTCAGCACCACAGCATTTACTTCAATAGCAAGATTGGATTTTTAGCACTAAAACCCATTTTTTCAACACTAGAGTACTATATGCAATAAAAAGATTGAACCTTTAGCAGTAAAAAACAATTCTTTCAACACTAGAGTACTATATTCAATGAATAGGTTGAAACATAAACATTATAAAACCAATTCTCCTAAGCAAAAAATGAGTAAGCAGGAAGATGAAAGGAGTTACCTTTAGAAATAGCATGAGTTTTAGTAGTGGGTTGAGAAGAAGAAAGAGGGAAGAGAGAAGAGAGTGCTGTGTGAATTGGGATTGACAATTTTGGGCAGATGGAGAAGGCTATGGAAGTGGCTGGTGGGGGGAAAGGGGAACGTAAGTGGGTGAAGAGATGGCGGAGTGCAGGTAGCAAAGCCATTTTTGGGGGCTTTGATAAACCCCTTGTGATTTTCTTTCTTGATGATAAACCTTTCATTTTCAATCACATGTTTTGCACGTGACCAAACAGTAATCATAAGTTTTACATTAATTAGACAAAATTTTGTGTTGTTCATAACTTTAATACAATTTTCATTCATAAAAAGGGTCAAGAAATATCGTTGATCAATTAAAATGCCTTAAATTTGTCTTCTTTTCCATCTATTGGATTTCAATTGCTCATAACGTTAAATTTTTTAATTAAAACTTGTCACTCTTTTATCTATTAGACCCCCAATTGCTCTTTACGGCTCACTTTTCGGGTAATAACTTTGGACACACAATACTATATTGTATAGACAGTCAATATGTATATAAAAAACACAAGCATGTATTCCTACTTCTTAGTTCAATTTTTGATGGATTAAGCTAATAAATGAGCAGGTCAATAACCCATCCAAACTTGGGTGAGTTGAATGAAATATATTTTTATGGACTAATTTTGACACCTCTCAGCTTTACAAAGGATTCATACAAGCTAATTGATTCATAGATACACAAACACATATACCTCTTTATTACTTTTTTTTTGGTGAATGTCATACTGAAATCACATACATAAATTCCTGGTAAGTTCAACATTGCTTAATTTCAGCAAAACCGTCATTGAGAAGAAAGTTTTGAACTATACAATCCAAAAGGTAGCTAACAAATCTTTGGCTTATTCAACCAACAACCCAACAGCAGCTTTATAACCACAATTGGCTTATTCACTCTACATTTAACAAGTATATGCAAGTTGATTTTTTTTATCTCCAAGTCGATGTTAGACTACTTCTCTCGGCCATGTAATGCCTGGACATCCAAGCATAGCTTGCATTTACACGTTACAACTTCAGACTACTTCTGCAGGGGACTTTGCGGAACAGGTCAGGACAGCATCTCCTACAGTGAGAAAGATCTTGTCCTCGCCAATTTGACTCATGAAATCAGATGCATGCAGCTTGTCAATCACTACTCTTCCAGGATTCGAGAGAACTAGCTGTTCACACACGTACAAGCACACACATGTTTGAGTTCAGATACTATGTTTGGGGTTGATTAGGTTATCAGGTTTATGAAAATTACCTGAACTTCTCTCTTATGTAGGCTTCTGTGCAACTCTTCAAAGGCATGGATACCGCTAGTGTCAATGTCAGTCACAGCTGCAAAGAGTAAGGGAAAAGAAATACGAGATGAGTGTTATTTGCTTCTACAGTTATCATATTTAGTTGGGATTTTTAAAGACAAAGGTAACCATTTTCTCCACTTACGCGACATGTCAACTATCAAGAACTGAATTTTAGGTTGGTTAACTGATTCTAGTTGCTCGTCTTCATCCGTTAGCCATCTCAATATCCTGGAAAACAAGTTCATTCTCATGAAATAGACACTCTTTTCGCCAATATGAAAGCAAAATTAGTTCATGTTTTCAGTTGAAAATTGAAAGACATCATAGAAATTCCGATTGAAGATAGAAGAAATAATGTCTTACCTCTCTCTCATGTAGTTAGAATTTGAAAAGTAGATAGCAGAATCAACTCTCACTATTAGTACACCGGGAACTTGTGTTGCCTCGGGGTATTGTTGAATGTTCCTATATACATTTGTCCTAGGGATCTTGCCAAGAAGAGCTGTTCGTGGCCTTGTGACTTGGAGGAGAATCTTAGCAAATGATATTGAGACCTATTTAATAAAAAAGACAACGAGATTCAATCATTGAACTGTCGTGGCTTTCCCTAATGAATTTGTTAACCGTTGCTGAGAGAAATACTTACAGCAATTATAAGACCTATCTCAACAGAGGCGAAAACCACACCGAAAAATGCTCCCATGCAAGCAACAAAATCAAATTTGTCGATCTTCCAAATCAAAATCGTTGCTTCATAGTCTACCAATCCAATGACAGCAGAGATAATGATGGCAGAAAGGATTGCATTCGGAGTGTACTCAAAAAGAGGGGTTATGAACAACAATGTCAGGACCACAACAATAGACATGACAATGTTGGAAACTGCAGTTTGGCAGCCAGCCATGTAATTTACTGCTGAACGAGAGAAGGAACCTGCAAGAGCGAATTGATCAACTAGTTACAGAATGCCAAGAGAAATGAAGTACTCATAGTATTTGTTTGCCTTAATTATAAAACATAAGATAATGATGAAACACATTAACAGATCAAGCCACATTTGACTTGAAGCGATTGGAAAATATTACTATATGTTTTATTAGTACTTTAGTCATTTTCTCTACCTGTTGTCACATAGCATGATGTCATGGAGCCGACGACATTCATTGTCCCAAGTGCCACCATTTCTTTGTTTCCATCCAACTGATAGTCCTTCTTTGCAGCAAATGATCTTCCAATTGCAACAGCTTCCTATGAACGAGAAGATAGAAGTATCGCAATTGAGTAGAAGAAGCTAAGTTGTGACCTATTTCAAAAAATTTAATTAACCAATTTTCTTACCGTCAATGCAATCATTCCAGCTACAATACCAATCCTAACTCCTTTTAGGAGATAATCACCGGTGAAATATATTTCCTTGACCGAAGGAGGATTGATTCCTTTCTCAATGTGTCTCACCTGGTAAGGTCATTACAGAATTGCATGAAATATTATTTCATCATGCTCAACGCTGAATGACTACACAAAGAAACAATGCCACGAAGCAACTAAAGTAAGCACTTACAATCTCGACTCCTTGTTTTTCAGCATGGGTTATGTAGACCAAGAAGGTGGAAAGAATGACAGAGATCAGAGGAGCAATTGCAGGTATCCAAAAGAGCTTTTTGTTCTTCTTTCCCTGATTTTCAAAGTCATTTAAGAATCAACAAGAAGCTACCAAGTACTTTAGGTTCAGTGACAGACAAAAGTTAGAAGTCTTACAGCGTACTTCGCGAACAAAAGTAAAGTTAAAAAGATTGCTCCAATGAGAATCGTTGGCCAGTTCCACTGCAAGTTTGTTGATTATAAAAAAAAGGTGCTATTATTATCATTTCTGCAAGATAAAACCTCTTAGAAAGGATGCCTTGAAGGACAAGATAACTTACTCCATGCTGGGCTGAACGGCATACTGATTTCATCACCGAAATGATATCAGTTTCCTTAGTAAACTTCTTGATTCCCAGAAAACCTTTAAGTTGCTGGAGCGCAATTGTAATGGCCGCTCCACCCATGAAACCAACAATAGCAGCATGTGATAGGAAGTCTATTAAAAATCCCAATCTGAAAAGGAAGCAAAGCAATTGTTATAGCAAGCTGTCTGTTAGCATGTCAAAAAGGAAAAAAAGAAAAAAATCAAAAAGTTATTGCATCAAATGATATGAAGAAAATCGAAATATAAGGTGTACAGTGTACACTAAAAGCTCTTAATCTTAGAAATTCTTATATACCTTAGGATTCCAAGAGTAGCTTGGGTAATGCCAGCAAAAAAGGTAGCTGTAAATGCAAGCCTCCGGTATTCAATTGGATTTGTCGTTGGATCGATTTCACTGCTTAGGAGAGACCCTAGCAAAAGTGATACAACAGCAACAGGTCCTATCGCTATATCTCTCGAGCTACCCATGAAGGAATAAACCAAAGGTGGAACGAAGCTGGAGTCTGGCAAATGTAAAGAAAAAACATGTATGAGAAAGGCTCTTTTAATACTATACTAAAATGAACTAACTAGGAAACCGGACACTTACATAGCCCATACTGAGGAGCTAAGTTTGCGAGTTTTGCATATCCAATGTCCTATTAAACCAGTTACAATATGGTCAAACTCATCAAAAATAAAAGTCCAAACTTCTTCAATTGATTTACACAAGTCATATGCGCATGTTCTATACCTGAGGAATGCAGAGACTTGCAATAGTCAGACCAGCAATAACATCACCTCTGAATTTGGAAACATTATAGCTTTTACCCCAATCTAGTATGGGAAATACAGCCTGCAAACCAAGGATAAACTTCCGAGACCTTGGTTGATCCTTAAAGGGGCGTAGAGGATCATCTGAAAACAATGTTTCCTTTACAGTAGTCTTAAATTCATCGAATAGGTTCTGTTTCGGTGGGACTCCAACCTTGTGCATATATGGTGGTTGTTGGTGCTCCGAGGATGATAAACTTCGGTAGTCCATTTCTTTTGCGTCTATTGCCTCAACGCTAGATAGACCCATCTTAGATTAGAATGGACTTATTCACCTGTAAGACAGCGGTAATATAATTTCTAATACATCAGTAGGGGAACTACTAAGTTCCAACACAAGCTTGTCATGGAGCCAAATCAACAAAATACATTTGTATGTTCACTACAAGCTTATTATTGAGCCAAATCAACAAATGCATTTGACGCCGCATAAAGGCTGGATGATCAAATTAATTGGCTTCTACTCAACTACTAAACAAATACTCCAATCTTAGCATTATTCAGTGCTACATTCTCTAAAACTTGAGAGCAACTAATAAGAGAAACATGCATGACAGGGGGGGGAAATTAAGGCCCTAAAGAAGGATCACTGACTATATACTGTTAGCATGATGGACATATCATAGAATATCTTGTAGGATCTACACTAAGATATCCTCGATATGGTAAATATGTAAGAGATATTCTAGATATTACACTTAATGTAGAATATTATATAGGATTTACATTAAGTGTAGAATATTTTACTTCCTTTCATCTCTTATTTCTCTTGTGTACCGATGTACTCTTATGTATTTGGATCATTGAGACCCATTCTTCAGTTCTTCTCTGTTTTTGACATATACAACATACCATTTCAAACTACATGCATGCAGGAACTTAAGGATAGCTATATTACTATATAAACCTTCTTGTACTATAGAGTACCTCAAAAAGTTCTTGCTTTGTCACTTATAGAAAGTTAGAGCATCAAGTTTTACCAACTCGCGGAAAGGGTTAATGGCATATGCAATTAAGCACAATTCCTTATCACTTCGAGATCAGTACACACCTAAACTATGTCAGGGTCCTATTACCCCTGAACTTTAACACCCTTAAACTATGTGAGGATCCTATTACCCCTAAACAGTTCTGTTGGTGACACAACTATTCTCTACAATTACATTGCAAGTTATTAATTGCATGTTTAAATTACTCCTTTTTTTCATCTCTACTATCCATCCCAACCACCTTTGTCCTTTGCTTTATGAGGGGAAAAAAATGCTCAACTCCAAAACAAGGATATAATAAAATAAAATAAAATCACTAAAGTTCACTCTTAACAAGAATAGGAATCTGATAAAAATATAATCCTAAAACCCAATTTAGTGCAATTAAATTAATATAACTCTACATTTTCTTTTCATTTTCAAAGGACTAAAGCCAAATTCTAACCTCATTCCACCCTCCATTTCTTTTATACCATTGATAGTGAAATGACACATAAGTACATATGCTAATTAAACAAACAAGAAACTAAAGAAAGTGTAAAATTAAGGTGCTAATTAATTAATAACATTATTAAAACAATAAAAGGTGCACCTGAGCCAAAGTTCTTTGAAAACAACCTCTCTACTCTACCCCACAGATAGGGGGTGAGGTATGTGCGCACAGTCTAACCGTAGTTAAGTAAAAAAGTTAAATTTAATATATATAAATAATTTTAATCAAATATAACCAGTATAATTTTAGGGTTCGAATGAACCCATCCAGATCCCAAGACCCCACAAATAGTAAAAGATATGAAGAAAAGGACAGATATATAAAGAGAGAAACACTAAAAGTAACTACCATAGTCTTTTTGTTGACACTTTTGATGGTCCTCGTACTTCTTCTGGGCATCAAATAATAATTCCAAGAAAACAGAAAAAGTACACTTTTGAAAAATCCCAATAAAGTAACAATCTCAAATCATGACTAGGTTCAATGTATGAAAATGTTGCAAATTTTCAATAGTTTGTTTGGTTAATTAACAAGAAGAAGATGAATGCATGTGTAGGGGGAAAAGGCTTCTGAGTGCTGTTTTTGATGAGTTTTGTAAACAAGAAAAACAATATTTTAGGGTAATGAAATGAGAAAATGAATTTGTGTTTTTCTTGTTTGAGGACAAATATAAGGAGGAAGTAGTAATAAGAGTATGTTGCAACAACTATATTTGTTGGAGGTTAGCGGTATTAATTTTCCTAAACTATAGGTCCTGAATCTTCACACTTTTACTGTCCATATTCATTAACTTCACATAATTGACCAAATTCCCATCTTTGAATCACAAGTTTATTGGATTTGGGCCTTTGAGCCCACTAACTTCCAAGGCCCAAAACAATGGAAAAACTATGGAAACAAAAACTATTACTCCCTCCGTCCCTGACATACTTTGACTTGACACGGTTAAAGAAATTTTTTTAAAAAAAATTTGTGGTCAGAAACAATTATTAGATACTTGTGTGATTGAGAATAATTTCATTAAGGATAAAACTGAAATTTTAAAGTTAAATTATTTCTAATTACAGAAATATTAGATATACTCTAGTTTGTAATATTACGTATCTTACCAGATTTTGGTGCATTCAGATGTGTCTAGATACATGTATCTTGGATACACGGAGTCAAATTTAGATGTAATTTATTCTAGATACATTGTATCCAAGTGAAGCCCCATGTATATGAGATACATGCAAATCTTGCTATCCTTGCTCATCACTCTCCCATGTATCTCGGATACATATGAATATCGCTCGCCTCTCCCTATCTTTTTGTGTATCTAGTAGAAAAATACATGAAAATTCTCTTTGACTTCTCTCTAACATTTTTTGATTCCGATGAACCCAATCGGGCAAAATTCGACAGTCCCGCCAGATCCTCCGCCCATCCCAACTAGCAAAATCACGGCCAATAAAGATTTGGAGGATTTAAACCTCAAATCTGCCCTCAAGCAGAAAACTCCTCAAGGAAACCCAGATGAAAATCAATATAAAGAGCTTATCAATCTTGCCCGTAACAACCCAGATTTCTTGCAAGCTCTTCAATCAGCTCTGGTCAAGGTAAACAACACTGCAGAGGATGCTAAAAAAAGAAAGGAGACGATCAATTCAAGGTCTCTACTAACTTCAACCGACCCGTCAAAAACTACAATAAAGGAAATGCCTCTAACAAAATCGACAATCACGATCCTAATCCAAAGCCAAATTTCACTCAGAAAAATATTGATTCAAACGAGCCAGCAACTGAGGATCATATCAATCAAAATCTGAATCAACAAATTTCGATATCAAGTGCGATGAATAATGCTACTGGAGGTCAAAGATCGAAACCCAGCGGACCCTCAAAGCCCACGTTCGCAGCAGCTGTTCAATCTAGGCTCACATCCTCTACTGCCGGAAAAAACTCATGTAGACATTAAACATGGAACACATTTGGGCAAACCTGCAGTTTATTTTTCAGCCGAAGACTACTTCAGAACCTAGCTCAAGATTGCAAATGGACCATTGTGGGGAAGTTCATTAAAGGAAAGCCAACTATGAAGGAACTAAGGAAACTTTTCATTGGGCAATTTCAACTGTTAGGTACTGTCAAAATTGCTTTCTATGACTACAGATGTGTTTACCTGGACTTTACTAATGAAGTAGATTTCAAGTATATCTACTTTAAGCCTTTTATTGATATTGGTCCATACACTATGAAAGTCATGAAATGGACACCTGATTTTAAACCTGAGCAAGAAACATCTACTGTCCCCATAGGGATTTTAATCCATAAACTTCCTTGGCACTTGTTTAGATGGGATATCCTATCTAAATTGGTACAATCTATTGGTATAGCAGTTGCTCCAGATCAAGCCACTTTTTCCAAATCTAGGGGAAATGTAGCCAAAATCAAAGTGGAGATTGACCTCCTAAGACCAAAACAAGAGGAAATTTGGCTTGGATATAAAAGACCGGATGGGTCTGAAGATGGAGAATGGCTGGAAATTGAATATGAAGATGCTTCTAGTTACTGCGCTTATTGCAGACTTCAGGGACACACAGAAATGGAATGCAGAACCAAGATAAATCGTGAAAATGAAAAAAGATTGAGAGAAGAGCAAATGAAAAATAAAAAGACTACTACATCTCAATCTCAAGAAACTAAAGATGGCTTTCAGGAAGTTAGCAGAAAGAAAGGGAAACAAAACAGGAAAAATGTTAGGGTGGTCATCAGTGAACCCAATGCTCATGATCAAAAGAAAAAAACTTTGCCTCTTGTGGAAGGGAGAGGATAAAACGCCACAAATGAGACAACAAACAATATTGTAATAGGGGAGCAACAACAAAGAACGGAAAAAGGTGAAACAAGTAGACTCCAAGAAGAAAAGCAAGACCAAAATAAAGGGGAGAAGATTTTGGATGAAGAAACTCATATCTCTGGCAATAAACACAAGACGCAAAATGATGATACTTCAAAAAAGAACGAACATAAGAGCAATTAGCAAAAAAATAAGAATGACAACAAAAAGGTTAATTGGGATGATCAAACCAATACAAGACAGAAAAATACTACCGAAATAAAAAAGCCTCAAAAGCATCCGATTGATCAGATGCAAGCCAGCTCCACTACTGACCAAATTTTGTCCAAACAAAAAAAAACCTCTGTCCTACCAAAAATCAAAGCAAAGAACCAAATCACTAGACACAACCAACAAAACCCACAGCCAAATCAAACTACAACCAAATCCACTGACAAATCCAAAATAATACACAAAGCCCACGACAACAAAAAAATCACAACCAAAGCTATAGACACCCACGAGCATCAATCCTCTGAGGAAGAGGAAGAAACAGAAGAAGATACCGAAATAGAAAATGAGAAAATTTAAGAGAGCGGTGATGATAGTTATGAAAGTGTGAAGGATAATGATGATGCTTCAACAAGTGATGAAGAAGCCGAGAATCAATTTCATACTTTTAGTACTATCCAACAGGAACCAGAAGTCGCTAAAGCTTTTGAGGATTTATCAGGGAAAATGAATCTCTCACCTAGAGGTTCGCAAAACACTAGAGGTGACAATTTCAATAGAGGAGGCAGAGGAGGTAGAATTAGAAAACCTGTGAAAAAAACACAGGATCAAAGCTCAACTTTCAATCAATTTTGATGATTAAGTCCATCTTTTGGAATGTGAGAGGCATCAACAGTCAAGGTGCCTTTGATAAACCTAATCAAATTAAAAGACTTCACAATCTTGTTTTCATTGCTATTATGGAACCTTTTAGCAAAAGGCCCAAACTTGACAAATTTAAAAGGCGATAGGGTTACAGCTTCGCTTACTCAAACTGTAACAATAAGATTTGGATTTTTTGTGATCAACTCTATGATTGTGTCATTATTCAAGATAAAGAACAACAAGTTACCTGTAGCATCACTACTCCTGAGGAAACCATTCTATTGACTGTCAAATATGCAAAATGCAAGGATCATTTAAGGGAGCCACTTTGGAATGATTTGAGATACATTGCTAATAACATGATTCTTCCTTGGCTGGTCGCATGAGATTTTAATGTTATTTTGACTCCAGAGGAGAAACAAGGGGGTAACTCTTATAGAATGTATAAAAGTATACCTTTTATAAATTGTATGATGGATTGCTCCTTGATAGATATTGGATTCCTTGGTTCTATCTATACTTGGTGTAATGGTCGAGGAAAAGGAAAAAGAACTTGGAAAAAACTTGATAGAGTATTAATAAATACTGAATGATCACTCAAGTATGTTGATACCACAGTCACCCATCTTATCAGGACTGGATCTGATCACTGCCCTCTCTTAATTTCTATATCCTCTTCTCATCAAACTCATCAGAAAAATTTTAGATTCTTGAATCTATGGACTCAAGAACCTGGTTTTAATGAAACAGTGAAGGCTGCCTGGAATGAAGATACTAGTGGATCACCCATGTGGAATTTCCACTTGAAATTGAAAAACACATGCAAAAAGTTATCTCATTGGTCGAGAAACAGTGTTGATAACATTTTTGATAACACTAAAGCTATGGAAAAAGAGGTTGCAGATTTAGAAGAAATTTGCTTGACCAACAATTCTGATAGCAACAGAATGGCTTACAACTGCTCATATGCTCAACTTATTATGCATATCAAGAATGAAGAAACTTTTTGGAAATAAAAGGCTGGTATGAAATGGTTTCAAGATGGTGACTCTAATACCAAATTTTTTCATACCATCATGAACAATAAGAGAAGAAGATTAGTCCTCAAAAGATAAAAAAGGATGATAACACATGGATTGAAGGAAGTGATGAAATTGCTAAGGAAGCAATAAATTTCTTTGAATCCCAATTCAGTAAGGAGGATTCTCACAAATATTTCAGTATTCTAAATTGTCTACCATGTGTGATAAATGAAGAAGACAATAATATACTGGATTCCCTACCTACTATGACTGAGTTGAAAGAGGCAGTATTCTCACTAAGTGCGGATAATGCTCCTGGACCAGATGGTTTATCAGGAATATTTTATCAAAAATGTTGGGATATTATCTCGATTGATTTATTTAACATGGTTTGTGATTTTTTTGCAGGTACTCCACTTCCAAGATCTTTCACTCATTCATGTCTTATCCTAATTCCAAAGACTCCAAACCCTCAAAGATTTACAGATTTGAGACCAATAAGTCTAACCAATTTTAGCTCTAAGATCATATCCAAAATGCTGAGCACAAGACTATCTAAAGTCATTCATAAAGTGGTCTCACCGAATCAAACATGATTCATGAGGGATAGATCTATCACTGATAACATCATGCTCACTCAAGAGCTAGTTCACAACATTAAGAATCCAAATGTCAATGGTAATGTTATCATTAAACTTGACATGACTAAAGCAATTGACAGAGTTG